CATCACTGAACTTGTATCGCTAGGCGAATTACGAATTTTTTTTATCATATCTCTCCAAGACACAGCTTCTGGTAACTATGGTTAGCATCAAGCATGTCATCGAGTGATATTATATTGACAATTTCTGGCAAATATTTTGTTCTCGAATTTGAATTTGGGCAAATTAACTTGGAAATTTTTGCAAACAATCTTCCTGCGCGATTTCCTCGAGTGCTCTCGCGCGCAGCGGCTAGTCAGAATAGGTTAGGTCTTAGCGCTGGCCTGATGCTGTCGAAAGCAGACGACGACGGCCGCGGGAGGCATCAGTTGGCAAAGAGGAACCGGTTGCGTTCGGGTCTTTCACGCGGCATCTCTGGGCGCGACGGCCTGACGAGCTGCGGGCGGTTAAGGCAAAGGATTCCTATATACGGTGAGTGAGTTCCCGAGTCACTCGTTCGAAACATTCTAGAAGTTCTACAAACATATCGATAGCGATGTTTCGAGAACGATTTTCTGTACGTTCCCACAATTTTCACGGTACCAGTTGTGCCGTTGTTTCGATACGTATTATGTTTTACTAATTTCATAAAACGCATGTGCCTTCCTGTGGGTTATTTCTGTTTACTTCCTATTGTTTCACCCGTGAATAAAGTTTGCGTCAAATAGCGGAAACATTTAATGTTAGAATTTTTTTATAACCAGTTGCCGCGTCAGCCGTTCCAGTTGTTAAACTGTGCTCATGTTTTCACGATTTAGCGAGCGCGCAAGTTGCCGTATCGGTCGCCATGTCAGTCGATGGCATACGGGTGGCAGTGCGCCGATGGTACGGCTGTTTGCTACTACAACATCACCAGCTGCCCCTGGATGCGCCTCCTTTGTTGCTTACGGTCAGGGAGCCTCTTGATCTTGGCTCAATAGGTTTCCTGCCGGCCTCTGGTGTCGTACTCAATTATTAATCTCGACCCTCATCCCGGTACATCTCACAGGAAATTCTCCGAAACTTCCCAATCTTAAGCAAGCTGACACTGTAAATTCCTGGAACTATGCTTGACTTTTCAACTCGTAGTCTGGGTGACGCTTAAGATTCGAGTATCGTCTCCCTAATTTGTAACTCTATCATTCTTGCCCCTTAACGCTAAAAAATTATACTAAAATGTTACGAGCAAAAAATTATAAATATTTTATTGATTGCTCCCTTTAATACTGAAGTCTTCATTTACTAGTGGAAATTCAAGTCTAGTCGTTTACCACGAGATACGTAGTCACGGAACTTTTCAGTCACTAACATGGATCTTTACAAATGAACAATTTTATAGGCTCTGTATCAGCGACTGGATGTATCAGAAGCACGTTCACCACCAAATCGCCTAGAAAACTCTTCCCTTGATCATCACGAGCTGCACTTACGCCGCGGCACGAAGCGTTCCTGCTGACGGTCTCTCCTTATAAGCGCTCTCGATAGCGGGAGCCTGGCGTCCCTTGGGCCAGGGTTGGGCCTCATGCGTCAAATCCTCTTGGCAGTTACACCGCGACCAATCTTTCAGAGCCCGTCCTCCTTCTACAAAGCCTGCCATGCCAGTCCCAAACCTCGTTCTCGCTCGACTGCAGCCTTTGCCGTCAGCGTAATTGCGACACCGACGCATCTTTACTGCAGGCTTTTGGTTGCTGCGTCGACTCTGCAGGGCGCCATTTCGAGCGCTCGATCTGCTCAGTTTCTTCATGAAGGCAATCTTGTGCACTTTTGCTGAGACGTTTACTCTCTGGCGAATGGGTGCGCCAGGAGTTTTCGTAACAGTACGCAAGTCGTGAATCATTTGCTTCTGTGTACCTTGATGATGGTTTGTGTTCCGTCTATGCCTCTTTTCATATCACGAGATACCGGTATAGAGATCTGAACCTTAAACTGGAGTTCATTTACACATGAAAGGCTACGCTTGAAACTGCCAACAGTTCGACGTACAAACATATCCTTTCACAATAATATCTTGGGGCTTTCTCATTGTGATGAGGCTCGCCTGATAATTCTTACCGAATCCACCGTTGTTGGCCCTTAGTGCTTGTATGCTTCAATGCAGTGGCATAAGTTTCATCACCTTCGACTGCTACCGGTTCTATCGCGTCTTTATGCGCGACAATAATCCACGCTCAATTGAGCAATAGCACCGACTGAATTTTTATATACATTCCTTCTTAACACATTATTTTGTAACACTGCCTCCTTCGAACGCGCTACTTACGGCTCGTAAATATATTTGAAAATTGAAAAAGGTACGTTTTTGCACTTACTGCATTTGATCATCTAGTATTGTTAAAAGATAGCGTCATTAGGCATGAATGCTTACAATGTATTTGCTTTGCTCCATAACAAACCCACAGTATGCAGAAAAAGTAATATCCACGGTTCACCGATTGAACAGAGTTTTGTGGAAGGAAGGCATCCAGGAAGCAGAAAGAAAGTGAATTATAAGTTTTACAGCAACACGCTGCATGTTTGGGCATAGCGCAGCCAAGGCGACACAATAAAGGCGCATTGCGCCAGTAATACAGTAGCGGTACATAACGGCGCATTGCGATACGCCAGCAGAAGCGTCGTTGTAACGGCGTGCTACGTTATGACAGACAGAACATCGCAAAAACGGTGCGTTACGTTTATGCTGCACTAGCTGCGCGAAAACAGCGTGTTCATTTAGGGCTGCAGCAGGGTCGCAGTAACCCAAGTGTTACGTTGGGGCAGACGGAGCCTCGCAGTAACGGCGTATTACGTTAGGGCAGAGGCAGGCGGCAGAAGGAGGAGGGTGGTCGAGGGAGAGTCGCACAGCCCCCTGTGTTTGCCACCATGACTAACAATGCGCTCGCCCTGACAAGGGCTCGGCCATAATTGGAGTGGCGCTGCAGCACAGCCGCTCATAGACCACTCGCTGCCGTGCGCCACGACTTGCTATCGCGCTGTGCCGCATTTTCGGCCATCAATAATGTTCTAAGATTGCATAATTTTCTTGACTCGTAAATGGTTTTAGTGATTCGTATCTCTCATGGAAGAAGTTTCATTATTGTTCATCATTTAAACAATGCAAGGGTCTTTAGGTGTTGTGCCGCAATTTCTCGTGTCACGATGCCATGAAAGGCAAGAATCGCTACATTGTTTGGCGGAGCGACGGGTAAGATAAATTATTTTTCTGATAATTAATTCACGTTTATACGCGATGTTGAAACCATTCAAATTAACAGCATCATATATGAACTGTCCACAGTTAGTAATTGCCTGCTATCTTATCCGTGGAAATGGCAACATTTAGAAAATTTGGCTTTATCCGAAATATTTTGCTTAAATAATTTTCTGACATAATAGAAAGAATCCAATTAAACCAGCTATAAATTTTACGTTCTTCAGTTCATCCCAAGCCCATATTGGCCACGATGATGTTAATTTGTGTAAAAAGGACGCCCTTTGTGAGACACGAGCTCTAGCTTTTGAAAAAACTTTGTCCCGCAATCGATATGTATTCGTTCTTCAGTGCCATTTTCAGTTTAATCGCTCATCATTAGCCCATTCCCAACCAAATTTCTTCTTTTGTTCAAGTAAACTTCATGGAAACGGTACGACAACTCCAATTTTGAGTAAGAAATGATTCGTGAGAAATGAACATTTGCGCTGTTCTTCAGAACTTATTGGAGAACAGATCTAATTACAGCACTCTTGATAGTTTGGGGTAAAGGCTCGTTTCGATGTTACTAGGTTTAATCTGGCTCATATGAAGACTTCGCGGAAATAACTAGGAAATGTTCACATCCTCACCTGGTGATGGAACTGATGTCATCCTAAACTCTTGTCGAACAAAAGCTGTGGCACCTCAGTGTCGCATGTCCGTCAGTGTGTCACGCGTGTCACTTTAATGTGCACATGACTCATGTTTCGCCTTTCTCGTGACTAGCTTGCTAGCTCGTCGCTCTGTAGAAGATTTAAACGCGCACTGCTCGACCATCATTCTTCTATCTTTCGTCGTGATCATTGAAACTACTTTCTTCGTTTTTTTTTCATATAGCGAGGAGTTTTAATGCTCCCATGCGAAGTGAATTTACGGGCAGTTACGTCGCGTAGTTCAATGGTTTCTTCCGCGTATTTCAGTGACAAATGAGAATGAGCTGAGTTGGTTTTAGATACCTCTAAGGCTCTATGCATGTCAAGATGTTTTTATGAATTCTGTTCTCGGCTAAATTTAGGACTAATTTCTGCTTATTCTCTCAAAATCGGATGTGAAACACACAAGCCGACCAACTATTAATTAAAACTTATCCCTCCTTCTTGTCTACATAAAAATGCCATGTTAAGAAGTCGCTGTTCACCATCCTCACTGAATATGCTATTCATTTAGAGATTAATTACATATATTGAAATTTCTGCTCCATCAATAGTCAAGCTGACCTTAGCTACTTTCAACTTTGATTGCGATTTATTTTTATTGGGATCTGCTTTAGTATTTGATATGAATGGAAAATTTCGGCCAGACGCAGACGAGTTCTGTTTTGCTATGCCGATCTCGACATTCTTCTTAATCTCGTACTTCCATGAATGTTTTACTTTTCCACTGGAGGAAAAGTTTTGAGGAATTGTTTTAAGTAAACGCTTCTTGACCTGCTTTGCATCTCAACGCACTCGCCTGCACCTCGTACACGACTCGCTCGTTTCTTGTCCTGTCTCGTACCTCGACTCGCTCGTTTCTTGTCCTATCTCGTATCTCGACTTGCTCGTTTCTATCCAGTCTCGTATCTCGACTCGCTCGCTTCTTGTCCAGTCTCGTATCTCGACTCGCTCGCTTTTTGTCCTATCTCGTATCTCGACTCGCTCGCTTTTTGTCCTATCTCGTATCTCGACTCGCTCGCTTCTTGTCCAGTCTCGTATCTCGACTCGCTCCCTTCTTGTCCTATCTCGTATCTCGACTCGCTCGCTTCTTGTCCAGTCTCGTATCTCGACTCGCTCGCTTCTTGTCCAGTCTCGTATCTCGACTCGCTCGCTTTTTGTCCTATCTCGTATCTCGACTCGCTCGCTCCTTGTCCAGTCTCGTATCTCGACTCGCTCGCTTCTTGTCCTGCCTCGCTTCTCTACTCGCTCGCTTCTTGTCCTGCCTCGCTTCTCTACTTGCTCGCTTCTTGTCCTGCCTCGCTTCTCTACTTGCTCGCTTCTTGTCCTGCCTCGCTTCTCTACTTGCTCGCTTCTTGTCCTGCCTCGCTTCTCTACTCGCTCGCTTCTTGTCCTGCCTCGCTTCTCTACTTGCTCGCTTCTTGTCCTGCCTCGTATCTCCACTCGCTCGCTTCTTGAGGTGCTGGTATTTTTTTGTGCCCACAGCAGCGCCGCTGTCCTCGCTGTCGCTGTGGGCGACGTGGTGGAGGGGGTGGGTGAGGCGGTGGGCGCCGGCCTCATGAGCCTTGCCTTTACCCACTCCCCTCGCCCACGGTCGCCCGGTCGGTCGGCCCTCTACTGCTGAGCGCAGCGCACTATATCCGCTGCCTCGCACGCACGGCACGCCCCGACCGCGCCGAGGGGTGGGAGCCCTAACGGCCTCCGCCGCCGCCACGCTCTTCTGTGTCCTTGAATGTAGCGCTAAAAAGGCTTTTTGTTCGTGATAAAGTACCCAACAACGAAATGTTTTTAGCAACTACTATCAACGCGATAGCCTCCGATAACGTTAGAAAACGCGAACAAGGGTTTCGTTTCCCTCTAATTATGTAACTACGATCAAGAGCTGCATGCATTCTCAAGCTTCCTGAATAATACGTTTTTATAAGTCGGTGACCTAGCTTTGTTTCAGTCCTTTACTTGAATATTTCACCATTTCTCTTCTAGGTTGCTGAATATTATGTTGGTTAATGTGACATCCCGAAAGATATTTCTTTCTTTGTTCAGCATCACTCTCTAATGTCATTTTTCATGAAACACCACTGGACCAACGTTCCAATAACGCAGATTAGAGCTCATCCAGATGCGATCTTTGCATCCTTCCTTCGTTCGTAGCCAAGCGGCGAGGGTCGCGATATTGGGTAGTCAGGCACCACTGCCCTCTCCGCTCCTGACCAATGAGTCCTCAGTAATATCGGACCTTTGAGCTCAGCGGCAGGCCTTGCCATCGTTCGTGTTGAGGCTTGCGGTATTTGGGAGATGGAAATGGATGGAACATTGCACTGAGAGGACTCGTCAAGACGAAGTACCTTTGTCTGAAGCTCGCTGTAATGCTCGCGCGCAGCACCACTAGGCTGGGCGTAAACCCCTATGTTTCCTGTTTTTATCAAGAATACGTAATTCGGAACTATTAAGCTGAAGATGTCGGTAGCATAAATCGATGCTTTTTCAGATTGGAGTTGAAGCTTGTGCAATTTTTGGCCATAGGATTGGAGAATTTTAATTTTACTTGAATCGAAGCTTGAAATTTCAATTTTCAAGATCTAATTCAAATGTACTTTAACATTTTTAGATTGAAGTTCTCGCTCTTCGAACACTGATGACTACTGAACAGCGGCCATGTTGCTGATGAACTGAAAGCCATTTTCTAACGGCACAATGAAAAGATTACGCATTTAAGCAAATTTTCATCCAAATCGGCGTGTTTTGGAGCAAGCACAAAACCATTTTTGTCCTCTTTGCTGACGCAGCTGGAGAAGGTAGTGCTTAATTTTATTGGGATCAATTCAGTGACGTAGCTTACAAACTCGTCGTTGACGACAAAGCAAACACAGCAAAACGGAATGATGAATAAGTAAAGTTAAGCCTGACGGTTGCGCATCGCGCTGTCAGACATTTGAAGGGAACGTTACAGCGTCGCTGCCCATCGTGTTTACGACGGCAGGGAGCTAGCGGCCGCCACCGCTCCAAAGCTCGGGCATAGAGCGAAACAGAGGAAGAAGAGGCTTAGGGAAGAGGGGGTGACTGCTGCCTCTTTGAGCGACTAATGCTTCAGAGGGGCCGCGCCCCTTGGCAAACTAGGAGGGCGACGCACAGGGGTGTTGTGGGGAGCGAGTTAGGGATAGCATGCATGCCCTGGGGAACCCATGCTCCTCGAACACAAACGTCAAGAGGAAGAGGCGTGCACCTTGGCTTGGGGCTCTTCTTTGCGTTGCAGGGTACGAATAATTCCCGTTTTCTTGCGCGAAAAGGTAAAAATGAGCATAATTAAACTAAAAACGTTATATTTTGCGGAGCAGTGTTGAAGAACATGATTTTCCAAGGTATCTATTACATTATCTTCATAATAAATTTTGGCTCCTACTATAACTCTCGCTTGAGCTACAGTTTTTTCTCGCACAATTAATGTCCTTCTCTTTTAATAGAGTTTCAAACGTTTTTAATTCAATGAGTTTTAAACTGCTCCGTAGTGCCTGTACAAAGATGACGGTATACTGGAAATTCGGCGCACAATTACAATAAAAAACTCATTTTTTATACGATTTATATACTGCGGTTACAATAGAAAGAAAACCTAACGTATTTTCAGCGTCATTTGTTGATGAACAAATATTATTTTTGTTTGAACCGAAATTCCAATCAGTCTGTTGGTACTGCCAATCTATCGAAATTGCTAAGTAACCCAGGCTTTGCACGTCTTGAAGCAAAAATGATAATATATTATTCCTTGATCATTTATAGCGGCTCATCTCGGGTCCCTCTTGCGCGTCATTGGTCTCCCGCACGACCAGCATCATCAGAGGACGCATATAGCGACCCTCATGAGCGACGCTTCCGACCGACATGCGGGAGCGTCGAATAAAACTGCGCGCGTGGAATGTGGGCTCGTCAAGTAGAGTGAGGTCATTACTTGCGTTTAGTTACTATGATGATTTAGAAAATCACGGATATTATACTATTAGAATCCCTCTTGATCGCTGAACAATAATGTAATATATGACTAATCAGGATAACGTGTGTACGATGAAACGATGCATTACTCAGATTTACCATCGATTTTTTCAGATAATTAATTATTCTCTCTAGGATTATAAAATTTGCGCTTAGTGAATGTTAATCCTCATGGAATCAACTGAAAATCAAGCGCAATTCCAAATTCCAATGCCAATCAAGCGCATTCCAGGAGCTCATTTCGGATTTCAATTCGGATTTCGAACCATTGTTACAAAATATTCTCAGTTGGACTTATGTCATCTCGATGGTCGATATCCGGTTCCATGGATTTATGATAGTTACAACACTCATATTTGTAAGGATCGTTGATTTGGCGTAAAAGCTTTTTCCAGCGATATCATTGCAATGTTTCCAAATTTGCTATGATCGAAATCATTTTATATGAAAACCAGGTATGCCAACTGCTCGCTCCGATAGTGCAATTATGTGCAGGCATTATTGCATTGAGCAGTCAAGCACTGTGCAGGGCTGCAGCTCAGATGTTAATACGCGAGTGACGCATTGAAATCGCATTGGAGTGTTACGTATCAAACAGTCAAATAATATTGAGGGCACTTCGTATGACGAACGCTCGATGCTCATTGGAAAAAAATGTGGTTTGCAGCAATGTAATCTCTAGCTTCAAAGTGCGATTTCACTCGATGTAAATTTACGGGAATTAAGAATGGAATTATATAGAAATAATGCTTATCCCTAATAGGAGCCAGCATGACAAATCAAGCCAGGTACGTTTACAAGTCATAATAAGAGCATGTACATGTAGAGCTACTGCACTGCGCAGCGAGGCATATAGAGCGCGAGTCGCTCGCTAAATACGTGAGTGTCGAGGAGAGCTCGAGGCTGCAGCAGCAGCTGTGGTCAATACGCGCCGTGTTCTGCCCTGCATCGCGGCATCAATAGAAGCCTATATCAGCCGCCCTACACGCTGGGTGTAGTCACGAACTGTGTTCCTCGACCCCACTTGGCCTCACTCACTTTGGACTTTACTGTGTTGGTTAAGGAGCACAAACGTTTAACAGTACTTCGAAGTGGAATTTTTTGTTAAAGAATCTTCTTCGCAGGTGATTTCATCGCCCTAAGCATGTAGTAGCCATCTTATGTTTTGGGATCATTTTACGAGTTAAGAATTCTTATTTATAAACTGATATTATACGTTACAAACCTTCGTTTCATCGTGCATCGGTGTGCATCAATTTGCTGCAAGGCCTTAGCTTAGAACTTTCTTTTATGTGTGAATGGGACACTCCGATTTTACAGCGTTATACCACGCAGGTCGATCTCACATGCACTGCAGGTCGATCTTACATGCACTGCAGGTTGATCTCACATGCATTGCAGGTCGGTCGCACATGTACTGCAGGTCGATCTCACATGCACTGCAGGTCGATCTCACATGCACTGTAGGTCGATCTCACATGCACTGCAGGTCGATCTCACATGCACTGCAGGTCGATCTCACATGCACTTTTTTCATATGCACTTGGTCTGCTAGCGCTCGTTCGGTCACTCGCTTCTCCGACTTCGCATGTTTTTTGAAGCTTACTTCGCCGGGAGCTTGTGCAGCCGTCGCCTGACTTTCATCAAAGCTCCCCCGTCAACAGGCGCGCATTTTCGCCGTTGCGTCGCAAAACAGCCGAGGGGAGCAATCAATCGCCTCCTCCATATCATGCCGCACTACTGCTACTGCTCCTTCTTCTCTTGCAGTGTTGTGTTCGTTGCAGCCTTTGTTGCGTCACTCGCTGTTGTCTATGTTGTGGTGTTTTTGTGATCTTCGTTGGAACCTCCTCCTTAATGCTACGGTTGCTAGCTGTAGTCAGTGAAGATTTATTGGTTCGGTATTTGGGATAAAGGAATCTTCCAATTATATCTTGTCGGTGATGGTTTACCTGTTATACGAGAAGATCGTTATGTATCGTTGCAACTAATTTAAAATTGAATTATTTGTTGCACTGTAATATGAATTTTGAAACTTCAGTATAAATGTTTTTACTGTGAAAAAGGTAACTTTTAACCATAATTAAAGTTGTCCAAAACGCCAATTGCCATTTTTTGCGCCATTTGATACCGGTAAATCAAGAAAAAATATGCAAAGATTTGGATGCCCTACCACGTGACTCGTCAGATCTTTTTGCAAGCCCCTCTAGTTTATCACTGATTCTCCTGGATTGCTCCTGGATTGCATATTGAGTAAATAAAATTAGTTATAATTCAAAATTCATAGTCAAACTATACGATACCTGTGTTGCAAATACTTTGGGTTTTATTTAACGAACTTTTTTTAATTTGCAGTGATAAGTATAGATCATCGTGTACATGCAATCTACTATATTTTCTTATAAGCACTATCTCTTCTGAATTTTTTGCAAGTGTTGCCCTCAATTTGTATACAAAATGATCATAATTTGGATAGTAAATGATCCTAATTTGTATACAAAATGATCCTAATTTGTATAAAAAATGATCAGTGTTATTTATGACTGATCTAAATGAAATGTTTTATTTGTTCCATAATATCATTTTAAACTTTAATGATATCGTCCAACCATCCATCTTCGACACTAACTCTGTGGTTTTGCATTTCATTGTCTCCTAGTATTTGTCGCTTGTCTTTGCCGCATGCAGCATCCCTCACACCTTCTAGCCTGAACCGACGTACGTGCAGGAAGGTCGATCACGGCACATCTGCCGTGCGGCCAAGGCGGTCGGCCTTTACTCAGAGCACAACTAATTAGTGAGCTGTTGGCCCCAACGCGTCAGGCTGGCAGAGCGGCGCGGCTTCCTGGCGAAAGGTCCCCCTTAACTCGTGCATCCTGCAAGTAGCCTCTGTTTGGGGGTGTCAATTTCGTGCCTTGAGGGTTGTGCTTTCACGATTCATCTCCCACTAGCATTTGGAAATTATTCGTGGTTTGTTTGATGGGTGTATAATTGCGTTTAAGTGTAATTATACAATTGCTAATGTTCATAACATGTTTTTATTCACTCCAATGCCAAAAATCATTCGTAGCCTGATGATCGCCAAAAAATTCCAAAATAACGTATGACGCATGAAATTTTTTCAGGAGGCTGTTGTCTCGTTTGATGAGTGCTCCCGTAAGTCACTGAATTAAGAGAAATTTTGAATCTTTCAATTTGTATTTCAAAACAATATTGGTAAAGAATTTTTAAATTCCGAATCCTAGTGATTCAAGATTGAATAATTATCTTCGTCTAAATA